GAGGGATCTCACGCAGGATTGTGACACTGCAGTCACTGGGAACAAGACCTGTGTTCAAGGGAAGCCGGACGGGAACGGGGCTTCCTGGGAACTGGAAAAGCAAGGGGGGGGGGGGGCGTCAGGGAGATGAGTTCAATCAGCTTGCACGAAGCCAGGCTGGTGCCGCAAACTCACTTCCGAGAAATCTGTCTGTGTCAAGACCCTTGTGCAAAAAGTAGCAGATGCTCAGGGCTGCCTCCCCCGGCGCTGGAAGCATACTTCCTCGGCACCAGCGTCCTTGCTGCCTTCCTTCCGCCCCTGCGGGTGAGGCTCTGCTGGGCTTGCCGGATAGGGCAGCGCTCCTCAGGCCAGGCGCTCGGACGCCTTCCAAGCACAGCTGATCACCAGGGTGGTCGACCGTCCAGGGATCTGCTCGTCCGGTGGCCAAGGCTCCCTCTGCATATCTACCTTCCCACCCGGGTTCGAGTTCAGAACAGTGGGGTCCAGGAGCTAGGCTAAGCGACATCAAGGGAGATAACCCGGCAGTGGAGGGGAAGCTAACAGGGCAACTGGGAGGCCTGTGCGTTTGGGTGGTTATGCTCTGCCTGGCTGAGTAGTTGTTAAGTGTTCTGTGGTTCAGGAGGTTTTCCCTCCCAGGCCCATCAAGCTCACATCCTCTGTGTGCCCGATATTTGCATGAAAGAGAAAGAAGCCATGCTAAGCACAGGGTCAGGGTCTGGGTCTGGGGACCTTTGTGACAACACACTGCTGGGATGACTGCGATGGGCAATGCACACTGGGCCCCACGGAGCTGGAAGAAGCCTGGGACTGTGGCTGCCACCATCCTCTGAAGAATCACAGAGGAAAACGTGGCCTTGTTGATATTCCTGCCTCGGGGCTTCTCAAGAACGTGTCCGAATCCTTCATTTAACCCGTGATTGTAGAACGACAACACAGATTCACAGGATTTGGCCCAGGAAACACGTCAGCCGTCATGTCGATTCGGGCTTCTCAACTCAGAATTTCACAGATGTCGGTGCAATATAATACGTGGACCACAGGAAAATGATTCCGTGGAACATTGTTTCAGGAGAGATTCCAGGTGCAAGGAAGTTAGATACGGTTTTAACTGTAGGGTGTGGCCAACTAGAGGTGGCCACGGATTCTGTGACACCGCTGGGCTCTGTCTCTGGCAGGATCCAGAAGTGAGGCTGTGCCTTTGCTGGGCCCAGGCCCTAGGCGGCTGGTGAGGGAGCCATCGTGGGCTGGAGCCGCTAGCCTCCTGTGACCGCCCCACCAACGCCTGCCTGCAGCGCTGCCACCCGGCGGAACGGCCTCGCTGAGCCTGTCACTCTGAGCACCGAGAGACGATACATGATGACTGTAAGCCACTGACCTCAGGTGGCTGCTGTGCTGTCTAGCACAGAGTAGGCAACCGAAAACCCTTTGTTAAAGGGATGCATGACTGAGTGACGTGAATCTGACCCTTCGGGCGGGGCACAGCATGTCGCTTCTCCTGAACGTGACGGACGGGTGGCTCAGCACAGGGCCGATGGAATGCTAGTTTGAGAAACAGTGAGTGGGGGGAGTAAAGCGGTAGCCTGGAGAGATGGGGCCACGCAGCTGTGACCCTGTAAGTCACGGGTCAGGAGGGAGGCCCCGAGGGGTGAAGAGCGCAGCCTCCGGAAACGACACGAATCAGGGGGCGCCGCCTGCGAACTGCCTCCCTTCCCTCCCCTGCCGGAAGGAGCTTGGACAAGACGGTTCCCCTCTTGTCACCGCGTGCCCGCAAGTCCCCTGTGCTGGGTTCTCACGGAGCCCTCTCCTTCCGCCCCACCAAGTCTTCGTGTCCAGCGGTGTTTCCACAAGACCGCTCTGAAGTGGGGCCTCCCAGAGAAGACAGGAGATACCCGACCAAGCTCAGGTCGGCACGGCGGCATCGACGGCGACCTCGTGGCCTTTGGTTGAAGACACGTGCCTGACGAAAATCCTTGCTTAAAACTGAAACGTCTAGAAGGTTGACTTCTCAGCTGATCTAGATACTGGCGAGGGACCCAGGTTTTAAAATTCCTCCAGTCTTGGGCTACAAATGCCATTTCTCTCCCTCCACGTGAGAGGTACATAATCTGATCTGAAGTTTGGTTCAGTTCTTAAAACAATATAGTGAAGAATGTTAATATAGGTCAAAATCTGGAATCAAAATTTTTACTTTTCAGAAACCATGACAGCCTATCCCACAGCTTCCTAATCAAGTCTCCAGATCCAAGAACCACTTCAATAGTTGAAAAAAAGTTTTATCTAATTATCTTCTTTTCCTCCTTTGAATTGACCAAGCACATCGCTCCCTGGTTTTATCAAAGGGGCGGCCGGGACAAAAGCACATCCAGTGTTAAGAAAGCTTTAGTTAGCAGACTTAAAATTGATCACGCATTTTCGTTTCAGTAACTTGCAATTTCTACACCCTTTGATAATCCACTTTAAAGAACAAACTGTCTTTAATGACAAAGCTTAAAAGAGACGACCTTTCTGAACAAAATATGAAAGCGGAGAAGAGATAGTTCTTTAAAGGAAAGCAGGAATTGAAATGACCTTGTGTTCTGAAACTTTTCTCCCAGCATTTTTGAAGTTGTACCTTTCCTTCCCACTCTCAGAAAGAGGCTAAGGCGGCAGGGCCTCCTGTGGATGGCGAAGCGGCTCCATCAGAGAGCTGCTAATTGTCCGTTCAGACTCAGTTTCTTCTCTCTGCACGTCCCCTCAATGAAGCTGCCCACCGCTACGAGCATCCGCCCATTTCTGAAAACATACTGTTAATATGTAACATTACAGGATGACGTTTCAATCCAAGCTATTTCCTTTGCGTCACAAGGTAGCTCTCTTGTACAAACTATGAAGCAAGTCCATCCACTCCCTCTGTTCCCTCTCTCAGTTCTACTTTTCCTCCCCATTGTGTCCTGGAGGGCCACCCACTGAGGAGCTGACTGTTGAGTGGGGAGGCTGCGAAATTAGGCTCTGACTCCATCAGAGCCGTGGTATGTGGATGAGTGACAGCAAACTTCCGTGGCCACCCTTCTCATGCCCGACGCCCTCACTGGACAGGAACACACACTCAGATCACTGTGATCCCACAGTCTCCTGCGCTCAGCCTGCTGCTAACACCGTACCAACCGCTACCTGCTGCCAATCACGTGTCGAGATGGAAAAAGCATAGGTGGGTGACGTGGTGCGGCAGCCGATGTTAATAACTTGAAATGTAACTAAACTAGGTGCTTGTCATGAACAATTGATCTTCCACCAGATCAAAGGAAGGATGAAATCTTAGAAGATTGTATAATGAGGCATGATGTTTATAATTTATCTCCTAAGCACTTGCTTTTACTTTCAGTAGCCACTAATGTACTCAGTGCTCAATTCAGCGAGGAATTTTAAACATGCCAAGCGTAATTTTTCTTTCTCGTCCTTTATCAGAGAACGTTCGCAGAAACATTAGTGTCAGCCACGTATTCCTATCACATACAATCGAACTGACCTAAAGTTTCAGGCCACTTACTTCTAGACGTATATGACACGCTTCAGAAACGAAACAGGATCTGGGGAATGTCAAAGGTTCACCAGTGTTTGTAATTTCATAACCCTTGAAATAAGGAAAAGAAAGAATAGCAGGCAACTTTCCAAAACACCTACTGATATTTACTCACGGAAAACAAATATTCTTGAGTGGGAGTTCCAAGTCCAGCACACAATACAATTCACAAAGGATTTTCCCTTGCAGCAGCTAACAACCTTACTAGTGAAGTCGGGTAAGCTTCGACCTGTTTTTCACGATCTGGAGAGAAGTACTTAAAATTAATCATGTGGCCTTAATCTTTCCCTTCCAAGCAGTAAATCCGAGTCTGAACACCAACCGTGCTCATCGAAGGGGTGGTTTCAGCAGCATCTGCGACAACCGTGCTGGCCCCGCGCTCTGCAGCCGGGCTGCGGCTGACTGTATATGCAGGAGACCCCAGTCTGCCCAAGGATGGGGTGTGCTTCTGGGGGAGGAGTCGGGCGGACATGACCCGGCAGAGTGCAGACGGGGCACGGACTGAGCACCAGATGCCAGGCCGCCTACTGACGGCTTCGAGGCGGTGTTCAGGCTGAGGTGGCCCTGGCTCGGAGCTGGCTGTAAAACCTGTTATTTCCTTATCATCTCCATGTCTCGGTTACAGTGCAGAAAAGGGTAATTAATCCTTGGGCAGCAAACAACAGAGTTGGGCGTGGGAAAGAGAGAAGAATTTTGAAGAAGTGTAAATAAACGTCTGGCCCTGTCCTTTTACGGCAACCCCAGTGATCCCAGCCCGCCGTGGTCCACCGCAGTGTCTCCGAGGGCCCCTGGCACGCACCAGTGCATCAAAGCATACGGGCACCCATCGACTGCCATTCAATCTCCTCGGCAAAGGCGGGTCAGCCGGCCGGCCTCCGACCGCCGCCACTGGCGTCGGGAGTGACGGAACGACACGGGGAGAGCGGACCGTCCTTTCTCAGTGGCGAACGTGGGCTCATCAGAGCTCACTGTGCTGTCACTGGCCAGTATGTCAAATGTCCTTCCCCACTCAAAAAAGTGTCAATTGATATTATAATTCAAACAACAACCATAAAAAGAGAGATCAAGGAAGTAACAATAAAACCTTAGCTGTTACCTAAAATTCTCACACTCTCCTGCCCCGGGGGTCCCAGCACCAGAGTAGAGACCGACATGACAAATACTTGGACCGATACCAGACGACCCAGGCATGTTCACTGTAAATAAACGCACCACTTATGGATTTGATCTTCGACGTGACATAAGGTGTTTTCCCCAGAGTGTAATTCGAGACTGTCAGAACTTTCTAGGGAAAAATACCATGCGGATGCCATATTTGTTTTAGCAAATGAGGTGCAGCAAAAAAATAGAAATAAAATTGACAAGTACAAAACAATACTTTAATTAAATATGAATACGAACACAAAAACAATGGAAACATATTAAAAGTTTTGATCCGATACTACAAAACCTGATTTTGATCATACACAACTGATAAAATCCTAGGCAAAAGCATTAACCAGGAAAATTATAGAAAATCATTTCTTTTCCCAATACAAGCAATTCTCAGTACACACTCAAACACACACAAATATGGAAATCAAAAATAAAGATATGTTAAAAAAATAACTTAGGCAGACACAAATAAAACCAACCCGTTAGTGATTGAGTGATGCATGTTTTTATGATCTTAATTATACTTAAGTATTAAAAAATGCCACTGATCTCACAGTTCACGTTACACTATCCAACTCTTCAAACCTGCTAGAAGTCCACCGTCCAGACACGGACTCCATCTATGTTCTGTGTTGCTCGGGTAAGTCCTCAGTTACCTGAAAATAAGAAAGCTCAGTGAGGACTTTCTCTAGGTTTAATGGGCATGTCAATTATAAAATATGTTCCAATTTAAGAGGAGCCGGTTGGAGGAGGTTAAAAAGAATATTTGATATCAAAATTTCATCATTTGTGCCTGTAAGGGGGTCAGTCAACTCCTATCTTCCCAAGCAACAGGATCTTTCAGAAAGGAAGCGATTCACAGGGTCGCCCTTTAGTTTCATGCTGGGTAAGTAGCTCAGCCATCGCTGTGCTGATGGAGGACAGTCTGAGCGAGGGCAGGTAAACGTGGTCTATGCCGTGCTGTCTCTGGGAGCCTCTGACAAGAGGCCCCTGCATCCCTGGGGAGTACACCCCGGGGCACTGAAGTCCCGGTGAGTGTGACATCACTGACGCCCCCCACTCTCGGCACAGTCGGTGGCCCCTCCTCTTCTATCTATTTTGGTCTGGAGAGCATCTGTACCAGCTCCAAACCTCCAGGGGATGCAGGGCTTTGAAGATGTGGCCTCCTGTATTAGGAAGTGCAGCATCGCACTATCTTAAAAGGATGACAGTGCCTCCTTAATCCTGCAACTGGGCATCAAGACAATGTCTTGTCGTGACGATGCAGGTGAGGCCCGGGCTTGTCAGGCGCCTGTGGATCCTCATCTCGTTCTGATCATCCTGACTGAGCACTGTGATTACAAGAGGTGGTGACTTCTCAAAGACAGGCTATTTACTAAAAAGAAGCCTTTTTTTTTTTTTTAAATTGATATCATGTTTAAGAATTTTAATAAAGACTATAATGTCAAACCAGGAGACTCACAGATGCAAAACAAGCACTCTGATCAAGGGCCGTACCTCCTGCCTTGGTATGTGGCCAGTTCTTCTTGAAGGATGGATGCTCTCTTTTGCAGAAAGTTAACCTAGAAAAGACACCTTGTATGAGAAGAGGTGACTGTACGAAGAGGCTTCAGTGGCAATAATGTACAAACAGTATGGTAGGTCTTTATTTAAATTCAGACAATTCCCCAGATAAAACTCAGAGGATTTGCTGCACGTCAATATCGTGTTTTTACAACTGATCACATCGCGTCCCTCCTGGAGACCCATTTGAGGCTACAGAATGGAGTTCAAGCGCTCCTGCGGAGCCAGTCCGATCTGGCCCAGCCTCTCTCTGCAGCTCCATCTCTCCCCATGCCCTTCCCACCATCCCCACCTCACGTACGATGTCTCCATACCCTGCTCGCTGGCACAGGCTATTTCTCTTTTTGGAATGGTTTGCTCTCCCCCACTCATCCTCCCCTATTCGGATGAAATGTCACCTCATCTATTGAATTCTCAGACCCCAACTGCTCACTGCCCCACCCTGCACGGTACGGGCGCCCTCTGTGTGTCCTGCACTCTGCTCACTAGCACTTCGTGATTATTATTTTTCGTATCTCCCGCAAACCCAGAGCTCTCTGGGGCGACGATGACATCACTCATCTCGGTTCCCTAGACCCTTTACAGGCTGGGCTTGGAGCTGGTCTGCACTGGCTGGTTAATGAGTGAACGAGTGGTGGGAAGAAAATGACCACCTTCTGGAAACCTCAACCCATCCCGGGGATTCCCTGAGGCTGTATTTTGTAGAAACTGAGCTTTGTCTGGAGTTAGGCCAACTTGGGTTCAATTCCTGATTTGGCCTTTATGACTCTAGGAAAGTTACTTAAACTCTTGATGCCCCATTTGCAAAATGGGGTTAATGACAGCTGCTTCCCGAGGTGATGAGGATGGCGTGAAGTGACTAACAGAACGGCCTCCCCAGTGCAGGCTCATGGCGGACCGCCCATGCACGCCCCAGTCCTGGGGATGGAGGAAACTGGGTGGTTTAGCACATTCTCTTAAGTCAGACCATTACAATGTGGTTTGATTACTCTGAAGCATAAATTTCTGTTACTATTAAAGACACCCAGATCAGGTACGCATTCAAAAGCACCTTCTAGGGCCAAGTAGGAATGGTTTGGGAATAACGTGCACATGGCCTGAAGTAATACAAAGTCAATGGTCTTTGATCATTTTGGAATTGTTTACTCTTGCCTCTTTGGGCTGAACTGAAACCATGGCAACGCTTGATTCTGAAACACAGTTAAGCAAGAGAGTACAGCTGGCAGCAGGGAGAGTGTGCCTGCAGGAGAGGAGAGCACGGCCTTTCTCCACGGGCACAGCCAAGCGGTCCCCTCGCTTTTGCTTATTTGTATTATCACCGTCATCTCAATTTTATCTAAGTGCTCAAATGACCCACAGGACAATGGAGAATTCTGACAGATGCAAGGATTACACTGATGCAACTTCCCATCCCCCACCAGGCTTTGCAATTGGAATTCCAACAATTTTCAAAAAACACAGGCACCTGTGCTTTGGAACTAAATCTGCTCCGTCCGTGGCCTGCGCCTCCCCCGTGCAGCTGCCACGCTGAGCCCTGGCGCAGCTGGCGGGCTCTTTCTGGGTCAACATCCAGTTTCAGGAGGCTGCAGTGGCTTTTATTACAGTGAAATGATAAGAATGATAACAGAAGCCCTGCAGGTGGGTATCAGATTTCTTCCTTCCTGTCTTTCTTTCTTTTTTTCTAAAAAAAGCTCTTCTGAAGGTGCCAGGTCCTACGTAGCTGACCCCGTGGAAGCTCTCCCGCAAAGTTAATGGGTAAACCACACCTCCAGGAGAGCTTTTCATGTAAATAAAGATGACTTAACCCTTTCTAAGTTAAGCCCCCCTGTAGTACTTATTTTTATGCAGGGGCCGGCACAGCAGAGCTTCCTAACCCACAGAAGCAGTAGCCACAGCAGCAGAAGGATGGGTAGAAGGAACATTTCATTTTCAGATGAGAGGCTTTTTACTGAGGGAAATATAAAGCAATGGCTGAAGTTCACCCCACATTCTGTCTTGCACATTATAAATAGCTAATGTGAGCATCAGCAAACTCTCTCGTCTCTTTCAGTTGTAAATGCACTTACTGAGCATCTACTATGTGCCAGGCACTGCTCATGCACAGAGCGCAAAGCCTTCATTCCCTCACGGAGATTTCCCACACACAAAAGTATGCGTTTCTTTAAATTTCTTAGGTAAATAATTTGAAAATATGTTCTCCTATTTCATGGTTTGCCTTTTCAGTTTCTGAATGGTGTCTTTTGAAGTACAAAGTTTGCCATTTTGATATATTTGCAATTCAGCTATTTATTTCTTCTGATGCTGTGATTTTGGTCTCATTGATGAAAAAAAGCTCTTACCTTACCCAAGGTACAAAGGTTTCCCTCTTTATCTGAGATTTTTGCCTGGCTGGTGTGGATCAGTGGTTGACCCACGCACCAAGAGGTCACTGGTTTGATTCCCGGTCAGGGCACATGCCCAGGTCGTGGGCCAAATCCCCAGTGGGGGGCATGCATGAAATTAAAAAATATATATATTTTCCTTTATTGATTTTAGAGAGAGGAAAGGAGAGGGAGAGAGAGACAGAAACATTGACGAGAGAGAACATCGATTGGCTGCCTCCTGCATGCCTCTTACTGAGGATCTAGCCCACAACCTGGGCATGTGCCCTGACTGGGATTGAACGAGTCTTGGTGCGTAGGTCGACACTCAACCACTGAACCACACCAGCCGGGTGATCTGACATTTTTTCTTAATGTTTTCTGCTAAGAATTCTACAGCTTTGGCTCTTATGTTTAGGTCTCTGACCCATTTGGAGTTAACACGTGTATAACATGTGAGTCAGGGCTCCAACCTCACTCGTTTGCATGTGGGTCACCCAGGTACCACAGCAACACTCCACTTTTCCTCACTGAACTGTCTTGGGCCCTCGTTGAAAGTCAGTCGACCACAAATGTAAGCATTTTTTCTGAACTGTCAATCCTATCCCACTGATCTGTATGTCTTTTCTTTAGCCAGTGCCACACTGTCTTGCTTATTATAGCTTTGTAGTAAGTTTTGAAATCAGGAAACGTGAATCCTCCGAATTTATTCTTATTTTTCAAAATGGTTTTGGCTATTCTGGGTCTTATCTTTTGTTTTTAGTCAATCTCAGTCATGCAAGGATTCTTAGAAATTCAGAGGGAATATAATTGTTGTAGGACAAAATGTATGTTTTCAATTTCTGAGTGTTAGAAATGGGAATATGTGAACTCTTTCTCATGTTAGAGTTAAAAAACTCATTAGTCTAGTGACATAAAAAACAGATAGAATATATATTTATAGAACTTTATCAAAGTATGTAGAAGAAACCTATGTTGGAAGTTTTAAAATAACTTTAAGCATATAAATTTAAATCAGTTTTATCTCTCACATCATATTTTATAAACTGCCAAGCACTATACATTTCAGCAAGAAATATGTAACCCAATGGTTTGAATGCCTTGTCATTATTCTGCTTTGAATTTAAAATGCATCAAAATACACCAGAATAAAAATGCTTCTGACTTTGCCATGTTTTCCATGTCTCTCCACGTGCATTGCGGAATCAGCACGGTGCTAAGCAATGACATTTTGAACCCGGTACCAAGAATAAAAGGGTGAGGCTATATAGGAATGTAGACTTTAAATGAATAAAAGTAACTATAACTGAACTTTTCAATTTCAAGGGTACTTTTAAGGAAATCTTTTTTTTTTTCTTTCCCTGAACTTTATTATCCTTTAGTTGGGGAGAGAAAGAAGTCCGTTTTCATCTGCGGTATCTAAGATTGTACAGATCACCGGAGATGCAACCCCAAGGATATACTGACACGAGTGAGGCTCTACAATATACGGTAACAGCGTGAGGACAATCTGATTCTTTACACTTCAGTTCTATGGTCACCTGTCTTGCTTTGTCAGTTATATCACAGACATCTCCGTTCCCGTAAAAATGCGACACCATCCTGACTGTCTGGGCACCATCGTCGTGAAGGTGACAGGCTCCAGCAGTACTCTCCTTAGCCCCCTCAATGTGTTCATACTGGGGCTGGAGATGGAACCCGTAACTCAGGTACGTGCCCTTGACTGTAATGGAACCCTCGACCCTTTGGTCTGAGGGCCGACACTCTAACCACTGAGCCACACCAGCCAGGGCTACGGAAATCTTATTGAGATAATGACTTCTTAAACTACTAAGGAAAAAATTTCGAAAAACATCCCCACAATAAACAACACCCAATTCATTCTGGGGTGCAGGCCATGCGACGCCATCATGTGGGTGCCTGGCATGTGCAGAGCCAGGTATTTGCAAGTGTCTCTGGGGATACGCACGTCACCTGCACCTCGGGACCGCCTTGCTTCTGGTCATTACCTGTGACTTCAGGGAGGAAATGGTGTCTTCAAGTTCTTGTCTTAGAGACACTGGCATCAACCCTTTGAATTTTGTTTCATATTCTTGTCGTATGTAAGTTATCTAAAGTGAAAAAAAAAAATGACAGCTTATTTATTTTTACCACAAAAATAACTGTTTTGACTTTACCAAATCCCAGAATACTATCTATTCATCACAAAGACAAGTTTGTTACACGTGGTGGAAAACCAGATACTAAAGTGAAAGGAAACACAGCTGCAAACTGAAGGTGTGCCCGGTCTGTCCTTGTGAGTCCGGGAGAGAGTGTTCCTGGACCAATACGCTCTCTCTTTAAAATCCTTGGGGACACCGCTTTCTGCTCTGGAGAAGCGCCACACCTGTGCCCTCTTCGCCATCGCGATGCACACCTGTGCTAGCCCTGTGCCCTTTTCTTGACCAGGATGTGGACCATGATCACAACAAACTGACCGAAGGGCAATCCACAGCTTGTCATTGGTACAGGACACTTCCCCAAGAGCTCGGGACCTGGCTGCTCGATGTAATCCATGTGATTACACAGATATGAACGAAGAAGAATCTACCCCACTGTCTCCAAGGCTCCTCACTAAGGGTAGACCAGAGTGCCCTGGTCACCGTGACCGTCTCTGGTTCATGCCTCTCCCTCCAGATACGATCGGGCCTGCGCTCAACAACGGATGGCCACAGGCTGGTACAGGAAAGGTCGGTGGCTCATCCCATTCATCTCTCTAAGAGCGAAAGACAGAGACAAGAAAGGAAGGTGGAAGAGAAGTCTTTGGAAGAATGTCCCCGGGCAGGATGAAGAGGTGCATGAGCGTGAGCAGGAATGTAAGCGATGTCTTGTGTCTTTCTCTAGCTATCTTTATTTCTCTTCCTCCTTTTTCTATCTCTTGCCGTGATAGAAGTTAAAAATCCGTTGCATGGTGCTATGTATGACTTAACTGAATATTAAAGCTGAATTGCAGTGTATCTCGTAAATGACGATTTGGTGGACATATATAGAAATAAAAGAATATACTCTGAAAATATGCATGACTAAGTTCAGCCAGACAAGTCTATGGACTTACTGAGGACAATTTAAAATTACTAGCCTTTAATTCCCAACTTTTCTTTTACTAAATTGAATTAAGAAAGAAATGTGTGCTAATAGTTCATTTTATTACCTACTAATAGCCCACGGTGAACATGCTAGAATATAAGTTTTTTACTTTTTGGCAAAATTTTTTTGACATATGTTATAATCTTGTAATTTATAACTAAAAGAAAAACAAATAATAAAAAATGATCTTTCCTATTGGTGTAATATTTGATTTTTCCCACTTTCTCTTCTTGGACTTAAGTCTGACAGTTACACCTGTCAGCTGACTCAAATGAAAGGCAAAAGCAAAGGAAAACACATGCCTTATAAATCAGACCTTAAGGGCAACATTTATTGAGGGTTCACAGGCTAGTATATTGACTATATTTTTCTATCATGCAACACTGGCTCTGAAATTCTGAGCTACTACTCCTTTATTTTTGATTTTTAAATGATTTTTCTTTTATTGATTTTAGAGAGAGAGGAAGGGAGAGGGAGCGAGATAGACACATCGATGAGAGAGAACATCGACTGGCCACCTCCAGCATGCCCCCTGACTGGGGATCGGGCTCACAACCTGGGCATGTGCCCTGACCAGGAATCAAACCAGCGACCTCTTGGCGCATGGGTCGACACTCAACCCTTGAGCCACTCATTTCTCATAACCTTGTTAAGAAAGTTTGCCCACTTGTCTGTACCTTTGAAAGACAACTTGGCTGGGTATAGAAATGTTTCAACCCTACTTTCTTTCTCTCAATGCTTAGAGACATTTTTTCAATGTCTTCTGGCATTACATATAGCTATGGTGAAGTCTGAAGCCAGGTTACATTTTTTCCACGTTGAATGTAACTTTCTTTCTCTGCTTGGATGCCCATATGATTTTCTCTTTCCTTGATTCAGTAGCTTTACTGGGATATGTTTTGGTATTAATTATTCTATATCCACTTTCCTGAGCCATTATGTGTGCCCTTTCTATCTTTAAATTCAATTCTCTGAAGAAAAGTTTCTTCTGTTAGAAAAAGTATTTGTATTCTATTATTGTTCTATGTGCTCATATTATATATTAATCTTTTTCTATCTGTTTTCTTCTCCAGGAACATAAATGTTGCATGTATAAGCTCTTCTTTGATATTTTTCCATAATTATACTTTTATCTATTGTTTTACTTTCTTATAATTTAATATCTATTTTATATTTTCCTTTCATTTTGTGGGATTTCCTTTAGTTCGATCACTGTATTTCCTTGGATGTTTTCAGTTATGATTTTTCTATTTTTGTTTCTTCTAATATGGTTTCGATCTCTAATCTTTTGATTTTTGTCTATTTTTCCTAAGATCAGAGAGATCACTTTTTTTTTAATCCTCATGAGAGGGCATTTTTCCATTTTCTGTTCAGACAGAGTGGGAGGGAGAGAGAGGAAGAGAGAGAGAGAGAGAGAGAAACATCGATGTGAAAGGGACACATTAAGTGGCTGCCACCAGCACGACCAACCAGGGCCGGGGACAAACTGCAGCCAAGGTACGTGCCCTTAGTGGAACCTGAACCCGGGTCTCTCTGGACCGCAGGCTGACGCTCTAACCACTGAGCAAAACCGGCCAGGGCTCACTTTTAATCTCTGTCAACTTACATCATCTTTAAACACATCTCTTCTTTTTAATTCTTTTCTATCTCCCCCCAGGTTTTTCCTTGACAGAGAGATATGTGACTGTGTTTTGTAAAGGATCTGACATTGTGAAGAACCGTTTGTTATAAAGAATTACAATTTGTCTGAACCTTCCCTCTGTTTCTTGGGTAAATTCCCATTTAATTATGTTTTTTTATTTGTTTTTATTACATTCCTTCTTTCTCTCTCAATCTAGCAAGGACCTTATGCTAGTTCCTTTTTCTTTTAAAAAAATTCAACCTCATTTTTTAATGGAACCAACTGTCTGCGGCAGGGCGAGTAAGCTCGGGGCCCATCGTCCCTCGGTTTTTGAGTACTGTGCAGGTCAAGCCCAGGCACCTGAGCCCTTTGGTTAATGCTCATCGTTTGCTTGACTCTTGCCCCCACTTCACTTCTCACATTCGATGGCCCCCTCGACTAAAGGCCAGGCCACAGACAGCAGGCCACTGTCTGAGCAGTTGCTCTCATCACCCCCTCCCTTCCCCTGCTTTTTAGATGCAGTCTGCTACACTGTCCGACTTTCGCTGAGCATCTGGGCATGCCCACTTCCCATCTAGTTCTTTCTTCTTTGTTTTTATGAATTCAGTGAATCTGAGTAAATTTAAAATGAGCCCTTGGAAAATCTAAAATTACCTCACCTACAAGTAAGACTATCAATCAGAAAAATATTACTACTCTGAATCCTTAAACCCAACTCCTGAATTTAAAACTCATCATGCCAAACAATGCTGTCACTTCAGTCAAGTCGTGGAAAACGGGGACCCATCTGGCTCGCTCGATCTGCAGACGCTCCTCCGGGCAGGTGCGCACCGTGCATTTTCTAGGTACCAGACACAATTCTAAGTGTTTGAAGTGTCACTTCCTCTTGGCGTCCCAGTGAGTAAGCACAGAGGGTCAGCCATGGCTTGACCTCAAGTAGCCTGACTCTCAAGCACATACATTCTTAGCCACCATGCTCTGCAGTTTCTCAAATCATCTTTCCAGATGCTGAAATGTTTCTTCCACCCCAAAAGAAAGAGAAACTCACAGATAACCAGTTAGAGAAGTTTTATCCACTGAACACTGGTGTTGTCCCACACATAACGGGCTGGGGGGGGGGGGGGGGGCATACTACTGCTTCCTTGCAGACACTCATCTAGTGTTTGCTCGATTTTTTAAATGACAACAACAACAACAACCACAGCAACAATTGGTCCCAATATGGCTTGTTTCCCATACACTCCCATCGGCTTGAAATCTTGATTGGTTAAAGACTTATGCAGAAGACTAATTTTAAAAATCTATACAAATACGTGCATATACTGCCCTAAAATAAAGTTCCACAAATCCCCCACGTAAGTACACATTTTAAGTTCAGCCAGTGAACTTCCAAGTTTGTCACATGGCAAGATAAGAGGAAAAAAAAGAATCAGCTTATATTCCTATCACTTTAGACTCCTGCTACCGTTCTTCTATGCCCACTCTGACTCAGGATGTACCTGAGGGGAACCACGAGGGGTGGTCTACACTCACCTGCAAACTAATAAAGAACCGAACTTGCAGAGAGGCAGCTCTCGTCTTCCTGCCTGCCCACATCGAACTGATCTAAGCAGAGTCTGATGGAGATACAATTCCTTTCACTAAGGGAGACCAAACTTTTCACATATAAGTCTATTTTATTATTAGGTTTGAATGCTAACTTTCATTAGCAAATGGCGTGCGATTATACTAGTGAGTGGCGTTTACTGAATGCAGAAGAATTCGAAGTCCGCTCTCGCTCAGGACGCCTGGGGAGGCGCCCCCAGCACTGCCCTGGCCCCTCCCACCGCCGCCTCCACAGGCTGTGCACTGTCGTCTGGGCTCCCACAGCCCTCAGCACATCCCCAGACAGACGCAAGCCTCCCTCTGCATGACGGCTCCTCCTCTCTCCACTTTCCTTCATCTTTCACCTTCAGCAAGACAAAGGAGAAGACCCAGCCCAGGACATCATGGCAAACCATGACATTGCTGTGATGTAATAAGACCCCTTGTTGCATCATAAGGGAAGTGGAAATGTTGTGTGTATAACAGGGTACCCATGTGACCAAAGACAGCTGTCCTCTGTGCCATGGCAGCAGACCGCCCTCCTTCCCCTTGAAGGCAGAGCAATGACAATATTTCCTTTAATTTAAAGAATGGGGTGTGAAGCCTAAGAATGCCCACAACCGGAGTTCAGCACTACATTAAGTACAACTTATATCCTGGGTAATCAAATGCTCATTTGCACAAATGAGAGTCTACAAAGTGTATAGAATACGTAGTTGACTTGAGTCAAAGAGGGTCTGGGAAATAAAAAAGTGATGCTAAAAAAAGCGAACCTTGGCC